TATTAGCATACCGGTAGCAAAGCCAAAAGTGAACAGAAAGTGTGAAGGTGTTAGAAAAGTAGATATGAGCATATTTACTGGCGTAAGCGGTAACAAAAAGGTCGAGATATACAGAGTGTGAAAGAACGAAGAAGAATGTTTTAAGTAGAGTTTGTAAGGAAGAGAGAAACAAAATAGCACATAACAAAAAAATAGAAAAGGAAAAGAAAGAAAGAAAACGTTGTGCCAATAAATGATATGAGTTGAAAAGACGAGATCCAATTGTTCTACTGACTATTCAATAAGTTATAAGTTTCACACCTAATGCTTTCTTTATTGCACAGAACACGAGCCAAGTAGGGTATGGTTGAGCTTTTGTACTTGCTAATGCTAGCATATAGTTTCCTATATAGGCTTCTGGTCCCGCCTGATGAGATACAAGGGGAGAGTTGTGGTGTGAGTTAGATAGACTGGATTTAGCCCATTTTTCACATGAGTCCAAGTGCCTGTTGACACATAATATTTCTCTCGGTTAGAGAACCATTGGGAAACCTGGTTCTCTAACCGTTGTCAGCTCATAATAAATCCTGCAACACGTCAATCAAATCCCTACAAACAAATAATTGAATATCAATGAGTTGCTCACTGGCGACTAGCCCTATTCAGGTAGGTTACCTGGGATTCTAGTGGGAAGTCGTGACCAGTATTGTACAGCAGTTTGGGTGTGAGGCCAAAATTTTCCGAAAACATTGGCTATTGGTCACGCTATGTTGTGAATTGGCGGAATTTGGAATCCATGAGCCGTTGGATCGGGTTCCAGTGGCTTAATGGTCTACGTACGTATCGTATCAGCAGAAGGTCCTGAGCTCCCAAACTAGGATGAAACAGCAATCCAGTCTTCCAAAGGTTCTCTAACCGTTGTCAGCTCATAATGAAATCCTGTAACCTATCGATCAAATCCCTACAAACCAATACTTGAAAAAACACCACACATTAGACGAAGTAAATCTCATTACCCTTGTATCAAGTGAACGCAGGAAAACTCAATGGGAAGTCTTCACAATCATCCAGTGAGAGTATTAACCAATTTCTTCAGCAAAGATATCTTTCTTCTAGTGACTTGATTCAATACACCTTTAACATTGCCACTTAGCCAGTTTCCTTTGAAAATATTTAATAATTACAAGCATGATGACGATCGGGTTGAAGGAAAACTGTTATATATTTAAGATGATATGAAAGAAAGCTAGAAATTATGGTAATCAATGAAAATGTTTTAGGTAGGAGCAGGGATACCAGCAGAATAAAAGTTTTGGACTTCAGTATCTCACTTTGTCTTCACCTACTCATTGTTTGCCTCACATTCATTAACTCATACAATGTCGCGGAAACAACACAACAAACACATTTGCTGAATAATTATGACAATATATGAAAGAAGGTGTTTTATATTATTATTTTATATCTGACCTGGATTGACTACAAAATTCTAAACAATGTTTCTTATCACTCTCTCTGTCCGTGTCAGTTGCTTAGAATATGACCCAAATAAACAGGATGCTGTCTGGATGTAGGCGCAGTGAATATTGAATAGAATTGTTACTGAAATAATTGTGGAATTTGCTTTGACTTATACTACTGCCTACCACCTGTCAGAACGAGGTCATATCATCTGTCGCACACACACACACACAGTGTCAGTGAAATCAATAAAGCAGTGTGCTTTGATAATCTGTAGTGGGTAGGATAGATAAGCAAGGGTGATGAGATGGTGAATGGCATGGAGTTGTTCTAAGGGTAAATGGTTTAATTTGGAGAGGAATACTCATACGTGTGTATGTATGTGGAGGTTAAGAACTGCGAGGCTGGTTATTGGCTTTATTCATGAAAGTGACTGAAAGAGGGAGGTAATTATTGATGAATCTCTTGATTTATGTTGACTTCATAAAGTTGTTTGCGTCGCTGGTTAAGAGATGGAATATGGGGCAATCCCTAATATAGTGCCGTGTTCAGTCTCCGATTGACTCAATCCTAAACCTCGCTTAGACGGAAGTAAGCCGAATATGAAGACAGGAGGCTGGGTGAGAGTTTAATAACCTCATCCCGTGCAAAGACCACCAGTGCTACTGAAAATTCGGACCACAAGCTTCGAGTTCAGTGTTTCATTCGGAATGCAAAGGAATAAAATAGATAAAGGAAATCAGAAAATTGCTTTTTTTGTGTCTGTATACTGACTGCTTTTGAAATCTTGGTTTCTCAGTAGTATCTATGTGCGATAACATCATAACCTGATTATCTTTCAGTTAGTGAATGAATAATGGAATCAATTGTCCCTACTGTCAGGTTTTATCATACATGGGTAGTACTCATCGTGTTCATCAGTAGTACTTCTGTAGGTATGTGAGGCAGAGAGATTTGTATATGCTTCCATACATGTACGGATAAATATTCAAGCTTTATTACGGTGATTGATAGATATTCAGAGCAGAATATACCTCAAATATTTGATTAGATAATCTTTCTTAGCACACTGAGTTATCCTGGTAACAGAAACATCTTCCACATATTTCGTCTGAATGATATTTTCAAGTATGCAGGATGATGAGTTCTAAAGTACTTTTATTCCTTCATTTCTAAGTACCAAACAAAGCGATATATGCTATGCTATTGATTGGTATGAGCTGCACTCGACCACTAGTCCTGCTAAATGTAGCTCGAGAATGAAATACATTCTAGTGACAATATCATAGGAGAAGCTGGAAGCACTTAAATGGAGGACAGCACTGTAGATTATGCCTGTGTGTATCAAAGCACTACAGTGACTTTACTAACAGCTGCATGTTATTGTAATATTCAGTATAACATCCCTGTTCGACGTTTTGTCGTCAAGTTAATGTAATTCGTTTTCCCGCATTTTCTTTGTGTGTGTATTTCGCAGTGAAGTACAATTAATTTATAGTAAAGTATAAAATTATACTTTGGATTCTCTTCAACGAACCATCTGAAAATGAACTACAAGCAGAAGAATCATCTTAATGGAAGGCAACACATTATATACACACCGTTTCATATACGTTATAATCTTACTGTTATGTCACAGTGACATATTTTCAACCTTGATGTCATCAATTTGTGTTGGTGACTGAATAGTAGAATGCTTGGCAACCACTCAAGTGGTCCGCTCCAATTCCCAGTCGAAGTAATCCTAAAGCTCGCCTAGTTGACTGTCTGTCTGGATTCAACATAGAACTTGGCACCGAAGTGCAGCAGTTCCAGTGGCCACGTTCCGAATAGCACACAAAGGTAGACACGAAAATGAGTGAAGAGAGTCAATAGAGTTTTGACAAGTATAAGAGTGAAACAGAATGAGTAATGGTGGAAAGGAATATGAAAGATTACAGAAACTGAATACATCTGCACCATTGACAACGATTTTGAGCCATGTCACCTATTGTCTCCAGCCATTGATTGATTCTTAGAGTCCCAAGGGCGGGCCCCAACCCGGAAGTCTGCATCTCCCTACCTGACTCAGTTTAACTGTCAGGGATTTCATGGATTGATGCCAAGTTTTTGTTTGGCCACCACTTACTCTTTTCCAACCTGCACCTATATCAGCTAGTGATGCCCGTCGGGGGAGACGATGGTTAGGCATGCGCAGCACGTGACCTAACCATCTTAATCTATGTAACTTCATAGCCTCTTCGATTGATTTTCCCTCTTTGCCCAACACTCTACGCCTAACATCAACATTATTTACCTTATTATACCACCTAACGCGGGAAAGAGATCGTAAACATCTGTGGTCAAAAACAGACAATCTTTTCATGTCTTCCGCTCTCAATGGCCACGTCTCACTACCATAGAGAAGGACGGAGCGAACTGCTGAGCAGTACACACGTCCCTTGGTTGATAGCCGGATGTCAAGCCTACGCCAGAGACGGTGTAAGTTAGCGAAAGCTGCCCGAGCTTTCTGGATCCGTGCTGAGATTTCGTCGCCAATCAGTCCGTTGGTGCTGATACAACTTCCCAAATAGGTGAAGTGGTCAACATGTTCTATCACTTCACTCCCTATCACTAAGCTAGTAGTGATCCAGTCCTGTAGCAGCATCTTACATTTTGCAGGGGCAAATCGCATGCCAAACATACGAAGATTGCTGCTCAAGGTGTTGAGAAGACTCTGCATTTTGTCAGCATCCTCCCCTAATAGGACTATGTCATCTGCACATTCTAAGTCCATAAGACTATTCCCTGGTAACAAGTCGATTTCTAAGTCGTTAAGTTCAGTTAAGGATATTAACTAACCAATATTAAGCCATAAAAATGAAGATAGCTTAGGCGTGAGAATAATAACATCACCCCATATAAACAACGCCACTTCTGAAAGCTTCAAAGATTTAGCCGTATGAAAACAACAACAACGACAAAATGTCAGCGAGTTGATCGAGAGAGTATTAATGTGAGCAACAAATATCAACATGTGAAAGTTATCTCTCCAATTCACCAGTGTCAGGTACACTAATTACCAATGCCAAGTACTGCAGGACACAGAGGTACCTACTAACAGAGTTGTTCACTTCTCAAAATGACGGTTAATTATATATACAAACCTCCCCGGAAATAGCAATTATTTAAAATTGTTCGTATTCTGATTCTTCCTCTATTTTCATCTCATGCTTCTTATATTGTTTCACAGTGACTTTCATTTCTCCTTTTCACAAAATAATTCGCCCTCGTCGCTATTCAAGACACTTGAAGAGCACATCACGCACACACACATGCACAACATACTACTGTCAGTAGAACACATCATACATGTTGCAATGTGTCATGTCGACTGACTGCTAAAACCTTGTTTAGTTACCGTAGATTTCCAGCCCGTTATCCAGTAGCAGAATGTTGGATGCATCAATCAATAGGTCATATCATCAAAACTGTCACTGCCAATTTTTGTTGTACAGCTTCTTTTAGCTTATTTTAGCATAAAATGACAATAACTGTCAGATGTTTACAGAATGGAAATAGAATCAACTAGGTTTATTCTTTAATTTACAATGAAAATGATCCACTATAAGTGAAGATAATATATCGTCTATAGGCACTTTGTTTGAAATGATAATATTAATAATGATAACTATAATAATAATAATAGTCATTTGGTTCTATTATTGTTAAGATGAAGTAATGATAAAACAAGATTGAAAAATAAGTGAGTGAATGAATGAATGAATAAATAAATAAATAAATTGAATCCTGAATACAAATGTACACTTCGATGATGATTTATAGTTTGCCTTCACGTTTCAAATCGAATATGATTGCTGTAGCAGCTTTTTGAGTAGTGTCCTATAAATGATTAAAATTGAAATAAATCAATAAATGGCAATTTATGAATCAATTATGAAGAAATAAGACAAAAGTATTTTGTCTCTACTGATTGAGAGTCATGACCTAGTTTACTAGCTCGCTAGTCTTGTAGCCTGTCCCAAGCCCGGGTAAAGAGGGAGGGTTGGGCGTTGGGTTAGCAGCCCCACACCACTAAACCTATCAAACCGCTAGAGAAACTTGAACACACAGAAAATATATTAAACATACAAAAACTTCAAGTGAAAATCTTATTCTTCGCTCAAATTGGAGAGGTGAAATGACACAGTGGGCTGGTGAAAGCCTTCAGGAAGCCAGTCAGCCGATGTGTCTTCTCTCGATGAAAGCAAGAATAAGAATGGGTACGTGGAATGTCCGTACAGTGTACGAGACTGGGAAAGTTGTCCAGGTAACCAAAGAGATGAGAAGATATGGCTTAGAATTACTGAGTATCTGCGAAAGCAGATGGAGTGGATGTGGATTGACAACACTGTCAACGGGAGAGTCAATAATCTATTCTGGTCACCCAGACAACAACCACGAACACACTGAGGGAGTGAGTGACAATCATGATGTCATCAAAGCCCTAATGCGGTGTGAACCAATGTCAACCAGGATCATGACAGCAAGATTCAACTCCAGGGGAAGGAAGGTTGCAATTATCCAGTGCTACACACCTACAAACAACGCGGACGAAGAAAAGAAGGAGGATTTTTACAAACAACTATGAACAGTAACCAACAACATCCCGAATGGTGACATCAAAATCCTTATGGGCGATATGAAGGCCAGCTGAATTGGGAGCACATAATAGGGGAAGAGAACTCATCATAAGTCGAGAGGCTCTCACCTGGCAAAATGAATGAGAACGGAGAATTGTCGCAGACTTCTGCTCTTTTAACGATTTGGAGATCGGAGGGAGCGTGTACAACCACAAGGATATACACAAAGCAACATGGATTTCGCCTGATGGATACACCACGAACGAGATAGCTTTCATCCCAATGCTGCTCAAGGAAGTGGAGACGCAGCCGGTCTGCTGGGCACAAAGTCGAGAAGGGGAGCAGATGTTGGCTCAGACCATCATCTAGTTCAAGGAACCTTCAAGGTGAAGCTGAAATCCCTCAAAACAAATGGAGACAGACCACGATTCAAGTTCAACATGCAGAAACTGAAGGACAAAACTAAAAAGGATCCCTTCGCTACAGATATCAAAGTAAAATCGGACACACTACGTGGCATCAGTTAAGAAACCTGCATGGAAGAACATTGGAACTAACTCTCTGAAAGCGATATTTGTGGAAACGTGTACAAATGTTCCAGGAAGAAGGAAGATACAAGACGAGGAATGGCTGCCAATGGATACGTGGAAGCTAGTCGAGGAGAGGGGAGGAGGATGGTGAAAGGGAAGATGGCCCAATACAAAGATGCACAGTAGAAGGAGGAGCTGAGTTCAGTATACGCTGCAATGCATAAAGCAGTAAAGAAGAGTGCTAGGAAAGAAAAAAAGAATTCTACGACACATTGGCAACTGAAGCAGAACAAGCCGCATGCAAAAGAGATCTCAAGACATTACATCAAATAACTAGGTCTCTATGTGGAAAGAGATCAAGCCAGATGATGAAACAAATAAAAGATGCTCAAGGGAACCTGATCACCAAGGAGGAGAAACAAATCAAGCAATAGGCTGATCACTTTAACAGACTCTTGAATCGACCACCACCAGCAACTAACCCGGAAATATCACCCTCACCAACAGCACGCCATTGGACATCAATCTTCAAGCTACTGAAGTCCGGTTAGGAAGGCAGCAGGACCGGAAGGTATTCCTCCCGAATCACTGAAGACGACCACAGAGATTACGGAAGATGTTCTCACTCTATTACTGCAAAGCGTATGGAAAGAAGGAAAGTGGCCTACTGAGTGGGAGAAGGGCTGCCTCGTCAAACTGCCAAAGAAGGGTGACTTAGGCCTGTGCAAGAACTGGGGTGGAATAATTCTCCTGTCCACGCCAAGTATAATACTAAGTCACATCATCCTGTAGAGGATAAAGGATGCACTAGATACAGACTTCCTCCCCACCGACCAGAACAAGCTGGATTCAGAAAAGGTAAATCATGTGCCGATAAAACTGCAACTCTACGTATCGTCATCGCAGAACAAATCATAGAATGGCAGTCAAACCTCACTATCTCAACTTCATCGACTTCAAAAAGCCTTCGACAGGCAGCGTAGATCGAGGAGTAATTTGGAAACTACTTCAACACTACATCGCACAGTGCCCAAGTCCTAATCAATATCATTCAACAGCTATATGTCAATGCCACGTGTCAGGTAATCCGCAACCGAAAACTCAGCGAGGCCTTCTGTTGAAGTGAATACAGTAGTAAGACAAGCTGGTTGCCTATTATCACCGATGATATTCTTAATTGTGGTGGACTGCATTATGCGTCAGACTGTTGGGAGAGTGTAGTCAGTAATTGGCTGGACCACCGATAAGAAAACTCTTGAAGATCTGGATTTCGCAAATGATAAATGTCTAATGTCGCATAAACTCGAAGACTTACAGGCAAAAACCGACAAACTGGCAGAGAAGGCTGACAGGCAGCAAAGACGGGATTCCAAGAGAAGACGGAGGTGATGAAGATAACCAACCAACAGCAACAACAACAACCAGTACAAATCACCATCAACGGGAGAGATTTAACAGGGGTTACCTCCTTCACTTATCTGGGAAGCATCGTTTCAACTACAGGCAGCCAGAACAGATGAATATATCAAGGTTAGTCAGAATCGGAAAGGCAAGATACACCTTCATCAACCTAAGACCACTTTGGAAATCTTCTGTACTGCTCTCAGCCAGCATAAACAGCAAGATTCGGATTTTCAACACAAATGTCAAGTCGGTCCTTCTTATCGGATTAGAAACTCGGCCAGCGTGTCATGAGAAGCATTTTCAACAGGTTGCAGCCTTTTTCAACAGCTGTATTCACTCCATACTCAAGAAATAATGGCCAGAAAGAATAAGTAACAAGAAACTGTAGGAACAAACCAGGTAACAGCCGATAGTTCAACAAATATGTAAGAGAAAATGTAGATGGGTGGGACATACATTGAGGAGATGGTCGAATGACATCGCGCGCAATGCAGGCCATCACTCGAGTGGAATCCCAGTGGGAAGCAACAAGTGGGTCATCAGTGCGAGAGTGACGTGGAGGTGGTCGTGTTAGTTGGAGGAGATGAGAGATTATGGGCAATCGTAGACTCAGATGAAGAGGATGGCGGAAGATAGAACAAAGTGGAGATGTGTTGTTGAAGCCCTATGTACCAGTCAAAACGTAAGGGGATAATAATACTATGATGTTTGTGTGCTTAGTAGTCATAGTTCACATTTAGTTTCCCGACGAGTAAGTGGAATTTATATAATTAAGACAACATAAAAGCATTAGTCGAAGAAGTTCAAATAGTCAGTTGACATTAAACGATTCGGTTCAGTCATATATGTCGATCGGAATTTACAAGTATGAAATGGTAATATGAAATCATACATAGAAGAGGAATAATGTGTTCACATCATAGTGGGAATCATTCTTTATTCAGGTAATGTGTCGCATATTCTTTACATATAAGTCCATCAAACTCATTGTTTAATTTCACTGGATCAAACTGTCTGAAGTATATATATATATATCAGATGGTACAAAAGACATTCCTATGCTATTTAGTCATCGAAAATGTCCAATCTTGAGAGTTATTCACAGCATCTCTCTTCAGTTTCTGTTTTTGCAAAATGTGTATTTCTTAGAGTACACTTATTACACTAAAGTCTTTTTCATTTTCATTTTGTAAGGGTTAGATGGGTTGGTTTCAAGTTTGATAGAGGGAAAAGTAGACACCCGTTTCGTCATAGTTTGGAACTCTTTACAATTACACACACATATCACTCCATATCTGTTCGGAAAGGATAAAACTATTCATCATGAAGTTTTATTTAGCATTCTGACTTATTTATTATTCTTTTCCTTTGACTATTAATCTACCATAAATGAAGCAAGAAGTCTTAGTAGACTAGTGATAAGAGAGTGAATAGTGATCACTCGAGGCGTAAAGCTATTTTCGAAAAGTTTTTGAGTTTAAGGGTTATTGAAATATAAGAATTTGTTTTGTTTGATGGTAGCTAGCAGTAGAATCCAGGACAGGCGTTTTATCCTAACTGGGAATCATTAGCTGAGTGTACATGCTTCCCATTTCCAGGGTGTCACTACTTAAATTAAGAACCAGTCTCTTCAAACGCCAAGGTATTATTCGCTGGACCATCCACACACCAACTACTTAACCAAACAAGCGATTCGGAATTATTAGTCATGGTAATATTGAGGAATCTGTCTGACAAGCCCACTTCCTGAATTTGGTTAGAAAAATCAAAGGGGAATCAAAAACATGAATAAATAAATCATTTAAATATGGTTAGACAATATTTAGTCAGCATAGTTTCAACCACAGATCAAACGGATACTAAAGATGTTAAAACCAACCAAGATCGGGGGAGCGAGACAGGCGTTGATCTACTTATTCTATATGGTTCGGAGACACAACCATAAGCATTTTCAACAGCTAACTTCAATGGCTGTATACTACTACAGGTGAGATGGCCGACGAGAAAGCATAAGCAGCAAGGAACATTTCAGATAGTAACAAAACAGTCGAAAATATACTGCCTAATAAATATACAACTTCGCACAAAGACTTAGAACAGAATACGAACAGTAACTGACGAGTTTGACGTGTGACAGAGATTGAAATGCTGAATGGAATGAATATAGAGGGAGATGGAGGAAATGAAAGTGTGTGGGTAGTCATGGACTATGCTGAAAATGGTAGAAAAGAGCAAAATACAGTGGAGATGAGCAGCTGAAGCTGCATATTCCTCTAGGAACCCAAAGAACACAAAGTAATAATAGATAACTATTCAATAATCGTATGAAATGAACGACATCACGTGGGAAGTGGTAAAGAGAGTGAAACTGCAGTTACATGTAACAGAATGGTTAAATTTCAAAACGCGTTTGAGTTTATAAAAACACTTGTATATATAAAATGAAGTGTGGTGTACCAGTGTATTTTTTCTCAACTTAAGGTTGTAACATATGACGTTATAACAGTTGGTTAACAAAATGATATCCGATGAAAAGCTTTGCTTAAAAACAAGAAGTCAAGAACCCATGTCAAGATCTGATGAACAACAATCAAAACAAGTTCTCATGAATTACTTTTATGAATAGTTAAACTTAGATTACGGGGAAAATGTGATGCGTATTTGAGCGATACATTTGGAACAATCTGATCACGCATAATTACTTGTCAAGTTAATTTGTATGAAAAATAAAGGCCAATTAAAATGTACAGTGACAAAAAGGAGTTCAGTATAATCTTCTTCTTCTAATAACACTATCCAAATTTAGATAATGGACTAATTATTATTAAATAGGAAAACTAGTGAATTGCGATTAAGTTAATACTAGACACAATGTGAATTGTTGCCAGTTTTTATTATCGATATTATAAGGATCATTTTATGCATTTGCATTCCACGTGGAACATAAGGCTTACAGCTTGACCTTAGAAGTTCTAGTAGCAATAGTGTTCAGGTCCTTATTCTCACTCACACCGTCACATCTTTACCAAGCCTAATCCCGTCTAAGTGAGGTTAATGACTGCGGAATTCACACTTGAACCACATGGGTGGTTGATGAGTATTCCACCTCTGAACTACACACACAGACTGACACTGAAGTAATGAAAAATCTGCTTTCCCAGAGAAAGATAAATATATATTTTTGCAGCTGTGTTAGATTATTACACAAATATATGTTTAGCTCAATGAAATGGAGACGATTCAGAAAAATTAAACCGAAATTTATGGAGTAGTTGAGGGACATATATTTATGCTTTTCTTAGGGTATCACAACGCCTTCCTTATATTAACTTTGTCAATCATTTCTATTGTAAGCATTTTAACCAATAAGAATTTTCGATTCTACAAACAGGCGAATTCCAGGTCGATTCATACGGCCAGTGTAGAGATTTATAAAAGTAGTGAGTAATTCACTGTATTTTGTATAAATAATTGCCTTGATTCGACCACTACAACCAATATGATGAAGGCATTTTGAAGAAAATAGACAGTCTGAAAGTGGATCTATCAATTTATTTATTTAAGTCAGAAAGGAAATTTATGCACAAGTGAGTGAGTAAGTGAGTGAGTGAGTAGGCGGGTGGTGATACATGCGTGCACACGTACAAAGTCTCTATTTCTATGTGAGGTAAAATAATGACATGTGCAAAGTTATTGGTGTAGTTGTTTCCTCTGAAGTTGGGTGGTTAAACTGTCAAGCATCACTGTCTTTCTAGACAACATTGAAGTCGGTACCGACTTTTGTGTTATCTAGAAGGTCAATGAAAAAGTGTAAATTTTACCATTCAGGTGAGAAAACACAATCACACCGATGTCATTCATCCGAGCTACAAATCTTCTCCATCATTTCTGTGTGTGAAATTGACAAAGAAACTTGTTATTGATTAGTTAGTGATTGTTGTATATGTACAGTGTTCAAGCATTCCAAGGGATAAGTCTCAAATCTTTTATTTTTCATTCCATGGAACACTAAACCTGCATGTGAACATACTTGATCTGGTTATTCTTTAAGCGCTTGTGACTTCGATTGTTAGCGGGGCTAGCAACTTCACTCCGTAGAAACAACATAACGTCTACTGGAACTACAAAGCTTGAAGACGTATGTGTTCATACTTGGAACGTAAGGAATAAAAAGTAGATTTGTATCCTAACAATTCTATGGGTTTCGGCTGCCTCCAAAGCCTCAGGATGGTCGGGAGTGGGTGCCTTGCGCTGCGGGTTGGCCACCCCTCCGCACACCTCTTGAAATGCTCCCATATGACCGGGCGTCTTACATAGCCTCTCCTGAGGAAGTCCTACTCACTGCCTTCACGTGGCGGAGGTGTTTTTCACCAAAGTGAGAGGGCGAAAGCGGATGCCCGGCGCTCTTCACCGGGTTGACTGTCCATTGGATGACAGTCTAGGGGAGATGGCTAAACCCTGATTCCAAACCTCCAACGACTGGCGTATGAAGCTCACTGGAGCTCACCGGCAGACGTATGGACAAAGGGCTTGTTGGATGTCCTGGATGTCTGGCCCCATTCAAAAAGGCGTATGAACCGAACTCCGGTCACCGGCTGCCAATGGATAGTGGACTCCCTACTCCACTCCTACTGCCTTGTAGGTCACACTTGGTTGTGTAAAGGCTAGAGCTGCACTCTCAAAGAAAAGGCCGAGCGATTCTGGGGACATCACTCGTACCAAATTCCCATGAAACTTCATGAACTCTCTTACCTTGTCGCAAAACCTTGCAACAGATCGCCGCGCCTGGGCAGCGATGATTCGAGATGTTCATGAAGCCGGCTCATCCTTCCGTAGGAGATAGCCGAAGTAAAGTAAAGTAAGTATGGGTTTCGGCTACGAGTCTCACAGCAAGAAATGAAACATGAGCAGCATGAATGCATTTGTTATTATTCAATTAGTTGGATAGGATAACTCACCGTCGACCTTCTTCTCCCAACCAATAGCCATAAACCACACGAGATTGTCACAATAATGACTATTAGTGCAGTTGGTATTAGAATAAATAAAAATAAACGAGGGTTAGTAGTTCTAAAATCTGAAATTGTGTAAGTTGTATAAAATGATTTGACATCACTCAGTTCAATCAAATCTTTTTTAAGAAAAGGTGGAGTTTGATGATGTATGATGTGTGATTCATTCTCAAATGCAAGTAAACAAGGTGATGTCATCTGAAATATAGTAAAGAAAAATAGATTTATAATTACAACAGTCTATTCAAGATAATCTCAGAAATATTTAAATACGTCGCATAATTTTATAACGATCCAGGAGAGACTCAATTCTCAGATTTGTTTACTGCTTCATCATGCAAATCATATATACCTGGTGTCTTGTGTGAAATCTGGGACTTCAGAGACATCTTCTCACTACATTCTGCTCTGTGCTATCACTTTCAACTGGCTCTATAGATGTCAACCAGCTTTAGCTTCATCTTCATTTGATTTTCTTTATGTTACTCTCAGACACTCGACCCGTCACTAACCACTCAATTGCCATCTGAGGAGTGGCGCGGGGTATAATGTCACTGGGCTATACAGACTGATGCGAAACATACATGCCGTTCAGTAATACAATATAATCTGTGAAACTCAAATAACCCTATGAAGGTCTCATTTTATGTAGAGGCAGAAGTACAGTAGTGAAACTGGTTAATCAGTTAAATAGTGGTTAGCAGACGGTTCTCTTTATGCCTCTTACGGCTATATGCATAATCTGCACATCCTTACTAGTTAATCTCACTAATATTTTCATTTATGAAAGCTATATTCTACGCAAAAATGTTCTGAAGTATTAGTTACTGGGAGGCATGTAGCCTGGAGGAAAATGCTTCTCCGAGTGAATTTCATTATGGGTAAAATTTAATTTGATAAAGTCTCACCTTGATATGATTATGAGCAATCATTTGTGCTCGAAACTTCATCAGTAAATATTATTGTATAGCACTATGAGACTTTATCAAAATAAATTTTACCCATAATGGAATTATACTCTACCACAGTGCACAAGTTCTGTTCTTATTTTCCGAGTGAAGTTGTTGCTGATACGATTATTTCCATTATGAGGAAAATAGAATATGATTCAGAGAAGAAAAAGTTCCTCATCAACGAAGTCGTTTTCAAAGGCCGTAAAATCGTACAATAGTCTGTTATTGAACGATAGGAAAGATGTGTGCCATAACTGATACAATTACTCAGATATGGTTTTTGAAGATAAATAGATATTTTTCAATAATTACTGACACTATGGAAATATAGTTTTGAAATTCGGTCAAATGGGTATTGTCATTAGATGAGAAGCTGTGTGGTTTAGTATTCACTTGACAAGTGAGAAAATGGTGAGAGGGAATAACAACTAACAAAATCAATAAAAGGGATATGTTAGAGTGATAATAGTGAATTAATTACTCAAAGTAGAGGCAAAAAAGTAGAGAAGAGTCTAAGTCCATAGTAGAATAAGAATAAGCCTGAATAAACCTATTCTACACACAGCTTCCAGAGTTATACTGCCGAATCGTTAGTGCCTCTGCTATACGCGAGTGTTTCGACATAATTCCTCTTCTGTCATTCGGCCCCACCATGTAGATTATGTTAGAAGATGATTCTGGTGGTCTGAATTCACCTGGTATTGGAGAATTGAGCTGGTAATTTTCTTGCATTGTCCTGTCGATAACCACTAAAGATAATGTTCACAGATTCGTTCTGGAAGTGTGTGGTTCATTCGGTCAATATCACAAGCCAATTCTACAGGAGCAAGTGAATTATTAAACACACACTGAAGTGTCCCGAAGTGGCACTTTGTCCTACATACATACATTGACTATTTCACTGACTGTAGAAATTGATTAGTGGGTAGATAATTCATCAAAATCTTAGGTGGACAGCACCGTTTCAATTCAACATTCATAAACAGCGATTTCTACCTCACTGTTTCCACTCTTCCTTGCCTCTACTTCACTCCCAAGTTTTTGTCAATAAAACATGTGGGCTATCCATTTTGAATCAAAACTTATCTGAGTGTATCACTGGTGCATATCCTCCTTATTCTACCTAAAGTGGTCCAACAATAAAAACTAGTATACTGATCACTAGATGTTGAATTCCTGTAGAACGGTCTCTGAATTCAACTGTAAGATCTGCTTTCCAACAGAACATCCAAAAGGAAATGAAAATCACAGTAGATCTAAGTTTTTCTCATGAAAGTAATGGAATTGTGGCAATAGTTGAACTCCTTCAGTATAAGTTCAATGTGAGCATCTTTGTTGCATGTATGTTCAATGCATATGAAACCTTTGAAAGCTTTGCTTTCATTCAGTTGTCGTTGTCTCCTACGCATCCTTACATCTTCAAAAGCCAATTTTCAACAATCGTGTAGCTTACCTCACACCCCTTCCCTTTTACTCAAAAACAGACTCCTGTAGGAGTTCACTAAATAGAATACGATATCACAGCCTCTGATGATGACTTCGTTGATAAAGAAAGCTTTCTTCCCTGAATTGTCTCTTATTTCCTTCCTCACTCAAACGACAATCTCGGTCTCATTAGTACTATTATTATTATTATTTTTATTACTTAAACTGTCATTATCAGCATTAATTTTATTAATACGATTATAATTCAGATAGGTACTACTTACATTTAGATGACAATATGGATTTTGCCAAAACAGAAATTTAGAATCACAACCATTGCTACAATATCCACCCATAGCACACCAATAACAGGTGACATCTTCTGTTGATGCATTGCTGCACTGTTGAGACGATCGTTGTACAGAGCAAATGTCTATGCAAAGAAAAAGACAGGAACAGAAAATACTCCTCGTTACATAGCATCCCAAGTAAACAAAGGTCTTTAGAGAAAATTTGTACTGACTAGAATAGGACTAATGAGGGCAGATTTATTTCATCGTTTCAAGTGTTGGTTTGGAGGGATTTGATTGGTTACAGGATTTCATCATGAGCTGATATCAGTTAGAGAACCATTGAAAACCAGCTGGGAGTACTGGACAGCTGTTTCGTCCTAGTTTGGGACTCTTTGTCAGTACGCACCCACCGGGGTTCAAACCCAGGACCTTCTGGTTACAAGGCGAGCTCGTACACCATTAAGCCACTGGGACCCGATCCAATGGCCCATGAATTCTAACTTCTGCCAATTCACGACATAGCGCGACCCCTAGACAATGTCTTCGGCAAGTATTTGTCCTCGTTATTGGAACAAAATACAATGGATATTGAGAAAGTCATAAACTTGATATTGATGTTGGAATTTGCAAAGTACACCAATCTACAGTTTGTCATCGGCTAATCTGTTAGAAATTCAACCTCGTCTGTAGGCTTTCAAATCCACCACTCATAGTCCACCATATCTCTGAAACAGCAACTGTACACCCTGTACTTTTAACAAGAATTAAATTCTGATATTTTGTTCGTTACATTAAAAGCTGTGTTGATTAGTCACTGGAGAATGACCCGAATCACGCATGTAGTCTGACTAAATTATATCATTTTCCTTCTTAAGTGATCCGTCAGAATGTTTGTGATACGCCGATTAAATTCTCCAAGTCAGATTTCAATTTTCGTCACAAAACTGTGAATCTCACTGTGGTTATGAGCATTTTAAAGTGATGTCAGATAGTTGGGCATGAAGAAGACGTGGACTTAGGTTTTATTTTTTATTGAAACTCGTCAGCTAGATGTATCTCAAACCTTGACAGTATATGTCCTAGCTGAGATTTGAAGCTACGTCACCCAATGTTATCATGTATGACCGAGGGATTAGGTAGGTAATTTGGGTTCAAATCTCGGACAGGATGTTTGTTTTTTCAAGGATGTGCCTACATCTTGTTGACAGATGGCAGTATGTAAAAAAATTAGATGCACGACTTCCTGATGATTGTCTCCAATATCCTACTCTTAACAATGAAAGCCCTGTCTAAACATTTGACTTCCAAAAATGTTGGAGGATAATATAGTTAACGTGAACATAATAATATTTAATAATGATACCTAGATCAATAAGCGAAAATCCTAACGTAGTAGCTTCAGTTGAAAAAGCATTTTAAACTACACTGACAATAATACTGACAAATATTTACTCAGAAGATAAAGACAGAATCCACTTTGTTTTCAATGGAAATAGGTCAACCATGTCACCACTTATCCACTAACTCTTCCGATAAGCATATAAAAACTGGACGTCCTAAATTTGTCTGTTATTTTGCGAAACGCTACACATTATTCCAAGTGAAAACAAAATATATGCTCAATCAGTGATAACCATTCACTTTTAGAAGAGTATTTCTGTTTCTATTCTTCTTTTCTTGTCCTGTTGTCATGAGTTACATTCCAGAAAACAATGTTGTTTTTTTTTTAATTCACATAGAATTTTTTGCATAAGAGAAAAGTAAATCAGTATGGCTGTTTGTGGGTGAGGTCAGTGAAACTATTTACTCTCATTATACTTATTGGCATAGTCTGTTTTAATAATAACAATAATAACAATAATAATAATGGTGAATATCTGAAATCATCTGACGATTGATTTTGTTGATAGATACCACACAAATTGCTGAAAGATTTAGATAATGCTACCTGAACGCCAGCATTATATGTCCGCTGAATTTACATCTGTGAGATATGCTCAAGCAATTGAGTGTTTTGAAGCAATGAAGAAGATGTGTGACACGGACGCATGTATGTTCTTAGTGTTGTTGTTCTCTCTGTGACCTGACTGATAACATTTCGAAAAATTACTTGTTTTCTTCAACAATATTACTGACTGTTTACTTCAGTGGGAAATAAGAATTTCGAAATATTGCATGTATGACGAACGTGTCTCTCTCAATGAAATTTATTGTAATTGAGTGCCTTCAGAAGATTTATTATCATTGTAGAGATCAGTAGTTACAGAGAAATTCGCTGGAAGAGGGAGATTCACACTACTCACATAGAAGGCTAGAATGCCCACATGATAATGTGGTATAAATATATGTGTAGAACTTGGGCGCCTGTTTGGATGGATAGGTGTTGAATCATTCCTATGACATGTTTTTGCAGTTGATTCGATAAACAAAACTGCCATTATCAATCTCTCCCTCCACCACCCAGTTACATTAGATTTTAAAACTGTCATCTTATCCCATCCATCCTATTATATGGTTGTGTGTTATTGTATGTAGTGAGTGGTATAGCTGAACCATTCTCCAGATTTCTTATCTTATTAGGGTCAACTAATCTAGATTTTGCTAGGTTCTGGTGCTCCACTGGTCTGAATGACCCCGTTCTACTACTTTGACCTTTGTATTTGACCTGACAATCATTGCAGGCAGGGTATTAGATAAACTAAATTGTTTTGTTTTATTGGCTCCACAGGATCCTCAAACTGATAAAGCTTGTTTCTAATTGAGTTTTTTGAATGCCAGCCACTTTTATTCCTGCTTTGTTAAGAATTCCACTTTTGGTTTCTGAGGTTCCTTCATATCAATTGTAATCACACGAGCATAATCAAAATTAGTTGACCCAAATAAGATAAGAAATCTGGAGAACAGTTAGTTCAGCTATACCACCCACTACATGCAATGACACACAATCATACAACAGAATGGATGAGATAAGATGAGGGTGTTAAAATCTAATGTAACTGGGTGGAGGGAGAGATTGATAACAGAAGCTTTGTTTATCAAATCAACTGCAAATACATGTAATAGGAATGAATCAACACCTGTCCACCCAGACATCCGGAAAATTCTACTACCCCTACGACAAATAGGGAAGAATGATGAAAACTACAAAACGAAAGTTTCGAAGTTGTGTGGTTACAGTTGATGATGTGATTATGAACAATAAATTTTATTCGAAATCTCGTTCTCTAGTAAATAATACTGTTTCACTGTTTGATATATCTAATAAACAAATTAATACGGAATCAGAAAGACAACGAACATTTTCGATTGAAGCACTCAGCTGAGATAAGAACCCACACCCAGGATCATTCAGTCTGTATGTCACCATATTAATTGTTTGAATAAAATCACTCAAGATTACAACTATAAAAATAACCACTACAAACATATAAAGGAATGATTAGCAGATGTGTGGCTAAAATGAATCCAATGAATTCTAATTACTGAACTCTGAATGGTCGATATATATGCATTAACTGAATGTCTGTGGAAACAGAAAATATTCAGCCTTTATAGAGAACCGATCAGATAGTATTTTCATCGTATACTTGTCTTCTGTTCTCATCATATGACTAACCTTTGATGAGAAAGCCTTTTACAAAATCTCTAGTCAGTAATATTAATAAATTAAAACACAGTAGAACAAATTTTAATTTGATTTGCATACTTGGATTTGGAGTGAATTCCATCAGCATGCGCGTTTTCAACGCAAACCAAGGTGATTTATCTGTGCCATATGACATCATAAGCCTTTTACCACTCCCTAAAATGTAATAGAAAGGAGAGATAGATGATTCAGAATCACTTTAAAATAATGACATTAAAGTTGTGACAATTAGATTGGTATTCAGGCTTTCGGTGTTTAAAAAGATAGCTGTTGAAGTCGACTCTCAGCGGGAACAGTATCCGTTACTGGAAGTACACGTACATTCATTTGAGGGGTTCTAAGCAGGAAGTAATGTCCGCATCCTCCATCCCACTGATCACCACCAAGGGACAATTAACATCATTTAGAAATCATCGGAGCGTTCGTACCAATAGCCGACATGTTAATAGTGACCGAGTACCTCAGTTCAGTATAATCAATCAACAGAAAGTATAAGATAACTTTACTTCAAATAATACGATATTTGACAATGACACTGACATAATCGATCTAATAGCTTCAAGTATTTATAAAAGCTGCTGTATTTCGGTATGAATTGTTCAACGAGCTAAAAAACTGGGACGACAAACATATTTGATCGATACGTACTAAAAGTGTTATGAGAATCTAGAAAGCCTATCTTTCGCTCCGGATTGTAGTCAACTGATAATCTGATACCCTATGATTTAGATGAAGTATTAATTCGTTGGTGGCATAGTGGTTAGGACGCTCGCCGACCATGCACATGGTCCGGGGTTCGATCCCCGACCGACGCACACCTTTACCTCGCTAAACCAGGTATAATGCTGGTGAAGAGGAAAGGCTGGGCATGAGGCTAGCAACCCCATCCTGTAAAATAAACACTGCTATAGAAACTTCAAGCCCCTAGCTTGAAGCCCTATGTTCCACTGGGGAACGTGAAGGACAAAAAAAAATTAATTCGTTATTTGAGATGTGAGATAAATGTAGACTGAATTTCAGCTTTGAAGACCTAAAGTATTTAGATGAAGCATGCATAAGGGATACATACGCGTAGCGGTAGACCTCACGTTAAGCAGTAGCACTTCATTAGTGAGATTGCAGTGACTTCACCGCTGGTATCCAACCATTTTGCTATATTGCTTATTTTAATATTAACAATTCATGTTGGTATGACACAAATCTTATTATATTGTGCTTTGTAAATTTTGGGTATCCGAAGGACAGTATGGTGGGTTTCCACTTCGAACTGAGTAATTTGCAAATGACAAATTCCATTCCATATTTTACCATCCTTTCTTGCTAGTCAGCCAGAATTCCAGTAGCCTACAACATTTCGTCTCTGTGAGTTGACTGTAAACTGGTGCACTTCTCTGATAAGCTTGTTCAGTGTTTAAATGACTTCAATCAGGCTGTCAGGCAATCATACCCCACCTTCTCATTATATCAAGCAGTAGTATTTATCATCTCTCTGGAAATTTGGCTTTTACTTTGTCCCTTTAGACTGTAATAGTAAATCTTTCATATTATGTACTTATGGTGGTCATAGAAATACAAGGTGAGTTTTATTTTGCAGTTAAATATAATGTTCACTTACAGAATAATGCCCTGCACAGTAACCTTTCAGATTACACAACTTCACTGCTTGATATGCGATAAATAGTGCATAAGTAATGACTTGAATAGCTTCGTGATAAGAGCACTGCCTAATTCACCAACTGTTACAGATTTATGTTTTGATGGATACATCATTATGTGCAAGTTTTTTGTAGGCCTCTCTCAAATGAGTTTCGGACTAACACCGGTGAATTTGAATGACTCCACCTCAAGGTCTAGATGAGGAGAGCTTGTATTCACGCATAATCTAATGAAATGAAATGTTCACGCTGTTGTATACTATCAGAATGGTCTGTGATTGTTGACGGTTCTCTAACTGATATCAGTTCATGTCAAAGTCCACACTGATGCTAAACATATATCACCAAACAACACAGCGATTTCATTTTAACATTACATTAGCAAGAATGTAATAATAATAATCTCTTATTATCTGATGATTACCTGCCACTAAATCTAAGCCATCTTCAACAATCACTCTGACATCTGCGCTTTCACCTTCTTCTGGTATCTAAAGAGAAAGAATGGTAATGGAAAAATAATCAAGTTTTGTCACTCATCGTTTCCACCTACTTATTTCCATTTTTAAAATCTCAACATGGTTAAAAGGTGAATGAACAAGTGGTCAAATCGACACGTAATTAATTAGACGAAAGGTGTAGGAAGTGCATATTTTGTAATGGAAGTGCATATTTTGTAATGGAAGTGCATATTTTGTAATGGAAATGCTTGAGAGACTGTTCGTTCTTTGTCAAGCTACAGATTCATTGGGTGATGCCAGGTTGGATGGAAATGAGTAATCGTGTCAGTTCCTCATCCAGTTGTAACAGTCACACCTACAAGAGAACTCTATGCTTAGAACAAATATTTTAAAGCTTGTATTAAGTCTTATAGTTTGAGTCAACAAAGCACTCGAGGAGGTGATATGGATTAAAGTTGTGTCAAAGCGATAGGGATAACGCTAGACGTTGATACACTTTTGGAGGCTTAGTCAATCCAGTGTATCGCTAGATTTTCCGACTACATACAATGGAAAATGAATAAGAGATTGTACACTATTCCCTTATCAGTCTGCTAGATACCACCGCCCTCACTCTACTGTCACGTTATGCGTTTTAAACAGTAAGACTTTTGATATGTAAGCTGGGACTGACTATAGTTTATCAGAGAAACAAGAATACAATTATGGTTAAAATAATCAAACTCTGCAAAGATGAGGACATATTGTTGAAACTTTCGCCGTGAAAACAAGTCAGACTTCTCCAGATGAGTTAACTAATCCCGCAGTAAAAATGTGAGAAATTTATATGAGGCATCTTATGGTTTGATTAGCAGTTGCTGCCTGCGTGTACAAGCCAACATTCTGGGGTGTTAATTTATCAGTTAGACTGAAATCAGGATATTAAGTCCTGAAAACAAACGGTCATTAGAAGTAGGTTTTATACAAGTTGGTGGAATGAATGTTTGCATGCATAATCCGTGTTGTGTAGTGTAGTGTATAAATTTTTCTCCGAATTTTATCAGCATTCAGTAAGAATGAAGCCTTATTATTTACAATTGCTTGAAACAGCTAACAGGCACTTCTTTATTTTACATTTACTTAACCTTTGACATAATCTGTGTGACAGTTGAATTGGAATTCAAGTTAGATAACGGACTGACATCAGTCAGAAAATAATTGAAAGCGAGAGACTATCGGATAGTTGTCTTGTACACACAACTGATGACTCATTAGCAAGATACAGCAGACACCTAACAAGACATCAAACCTTTTACTTCCAGGATGGGAAGTGAGCCCGTTCACCATCGATCCATTGGGACGAAATTCAATGGCCCATGAATTATAATTCCTCGTAATTGGTGATACATGGTGCCACCGCCGGTCAGTATAATCGGCGAGTATCTTTTCTCACAGAAGACTTACTAGATACCACTGGACACTCCTGTCAGTTTGTCGTCAATCAGAACACACAGTATTAGCTCACTCACAACAACAATGCAAAGAATGACAATTAATACTAACCAGATTGTTATTGATTTTGAGGGGAGAAAAGATATCTGAGAAGTACGCTATGTTTTCTATAATGACCGAGTCATCACTTGTATTCCATTTCCTAATTATCTTCGGACGTGGTGGTGGTGGTGGTGGTGGTGTTATAGCTTGAGGATTTTCATATACACAAATAATAGTGAAAACTGCACTTTTGACATTTCAACACTTCAGGTGTGAGAAACATCTCAGGAATTACAAATATCTGTCAATGTTCATTTCACTTACCTTCTCGAAGTAAATCAATATATTTCCACTGGGGTATATGACACAGACAACCTCGACTGAAGAAGGATAGATGAAAATGATTTAAGGTTTTTTTGTAAGACTGATTGAGAGTGAATATGTTTAGTCTGAGTACATATTAACATTATATTGATTTAGGTATATAAGACTACTTCTACCAATTATTATTATTATTATTATATTTACATTAGTAGTTATGTATTTATAGTTATAAGAGTTGAACAAATTCTTAGACGTAAATCTTTCAATGACATCTTAGTCACAGTCTTCTATACAAGTTGTATAAATCCACTCGGTTGTGACAAACAACCTATTTTCAATTAGGATTAAATCATGAGTTGCATCCAAAGCTATTATTAATACTATTATACCATTAATATTCCCTTGCTTCCCAAGTGGAACATATTGCTTCAACAGCAAATCTCCATTTCGCCCTGCCCACAGCGAAGATAGATCACTCAAGGAAGAGAAAAATTATATATAAAATACTGAAACAGTTTACTCATACCATTTTCCACTGTTTCCTCCCCAAATTTATTGATAACTGTTAAATCCAACCATTTAATGGCTAAAAAACTGTCTGAAAAGAAACGAGAAAATGATGTTAATAATAATAATAATAATAATGGCATTCACCATTAAAACAGCTATGCAGTTAATGCTTTTTATCTAACTTCATAATCTATAGGAAGTCACCTCTTTCAGTTACCTCGCCTGGGAGAATCCATTCAAGTACAGGTGACAGATCCGAGGATGTCGGAGTAAGTCACGATTGGATGGGGAAAACAAGACAGGCTTTGACTGCTCGAAAATCAGTGTGTGGATCTAGTGCACTAAACATTTGGAACAAGATATGAATTTTAATTACGATGTCAAGTAGATGCCGCTATATTTGTTCAGACACTCAATTTATCACCTGTTTAACACAGCCTGTCGCATACTTTCACCAACAGATGACTTCGCTGTCTTGATAGTGAAGATTAGTTAGGTGAGTGGAAAGAATGAACAGCAAGGAACTCTGCCAACAGACAAACCAAGAAGCTGCTGTCCTACAGATACGTAGAAGGAAATGGAGAAAAATTGGGCATCTCAGGAGATAGTTGAGTGACACCATACACCAGATAGCAGAACTCGAGAGGGAAAATTTGACAAGTCGGGCGTTGGTCCAATGATGATAAAGAGGAGGTGGTGTAAGGAGGAAATGAAAGTTTGTCAACAATCGTGGATCTAGCTAAAATTTCTACAGTGAACAGAATCGAATTCAGAGATGCTACCGCAGCTGCATGTCTGACTAAGTACCCATAGCACAAATAATTAACAAAAATAAAAGTTTAGTTTCATAGAGATATCACTGGGCTGACATTCTCATTCGTTTGTCGTCTCACGAGTGCGTGACTTTCGAAAACTACTGGATGGTCGACTTATTATGTTATGGAAACTCTCAATGGTCTATACCTAAATTTGCACAAAGGATCAAACGAGAAACCTCAAGTCTCCTAGTTAGTGAAAACATAACACATAGTTCAGCGAAGAGTCTCTTTTCGGCGAATTCATTTTTTTAACTGTACAATCGTAAATATATATGAGTTATTTTGAATGCATGGGTACATTAAGTTTGTCAAACAAAATTACAATTGGTTATAGTTATTTTAACTAAACAGGTTGAAATTATTAAGTTATGAATGGAGTTATGTAATACAAAAACGATCATGAAAATTGGGTGCTAATGAAACTAGTGTAGTAACAAATGTGATGAGTTGTCACAAACAGTTGTTAAAATGGAGTTACGTAATAATATGAATATGGTTAATACTGATTATTCCATCTCAACAAACGCCTCCTTCAAAGTAATAATAATAATAATTTGCTTTATTCCATAAACACTACTAGTGGTACAGTGTGGAATTTTCAGCACATATCTACAATATTTGCATTTAATTTTATCCACCGTTGAAAAGGAGTATTTTCAAGAAAATAAATAAATAAATATAAAGACAACAACAGCAAAAAAACACAAAATAATTTTTAAAAAATGCGAAAAAATACCAAGAAGTAGAAAGGAAAGTAAACAGCATATAATAATATCTCAGTATTGGGTAGTGGAAGCTATGATATGATTATGCATGGTGACAGTAAAACTATAGTCATACAAGAAGTTATGAAATGATATAAAAGAATGTTTATCGCAAACATGATCAGTGAATTTGGTTGAAACAACACTAAACAATCATAAAATAACATTTCAGGGTATTTGTTTTGTTTTTTATTGTCAGGTCTAATGCAGTGTTTGTAGTGGTAGTGTGAGTAATCCTGCATTATACAAAATTTTAGGTGGTGATAATGGCGTTCACAACCAGTGATTGTCAGTTTAATATTGCCGAAAAGTATAGAAAATAAGAAAAAACAACCACAAAACTAATAATTACATGATGGTTCATGTCAGGACGATTTTGTAGTACTCATAGTGCTAATATAGTCGAAACCAGTGGATACACAATAGAAGGAATATAGTAAAGTACAAAAAAGGAAGCCAATGTTAATAATTTAGGTGGCTAAGTATGTTTAAGAAGGAGTTCACTATAGAATACAAAATAAGAGTGAAATAAAAGAGCCTAAAATTATGTTATTAACAACAAAGCAAGTCATAGGTTTCACTCTTAACATTGTCTCTGTCGCTTAAAACACGGGCCAAGTATGGTATCGTTGAGTTCCTGTACTTGGTTGTACGAGCATAGATTATTTTATACTGATTTCTTGTTCTACTTGATGAGATACAAGGTAAGAGTTGGGAATAGAGGGGGTGTTGGGGGTCTGAGGGCATGGTTTTAGACCATTTTTCACATGTATTCAGATGCCTTTCAACTAATGTAGTGACGAGCTGACTGAGTTTTACACCACTAGTCCTACTAACTGCGTTCAACATCCTTCTCAGGATGGTATAGTCCTTTTTCAGTAGCCCAGGAAAGACTAACGGGGAGTAGTAAAGTAGAATAGGTAAGATGCAAGAGTTGACAAATTGTGAAAGTAGAGGTTGGGTGGTTCCAGATTGTCTTAGTTTCTTAATGCAGTAGATTAGAGTCAAGAGTAACCTGCGAAAGGCAATACAATTTCGTCTTCTTTGTATCGCTGAAGCTCTGGCCATTCACATAGAAAAACCGGAGCTGTGCATACAAAACAGAATTACTCAACCACTTCTATCATCATGGTAACAACTTTGTTAATTTTTGATGACTTAATTTTATTTGTTTGCCTGTTTCTCTAATTATTTATAATTCTTGTATTCATTTAGAACTCTTACGTAATTTCGTGTTCTCTACTTTGTTCCTATGTGTATTCTGAGTACAACTCAATCATCAAACTATCGACATTATTATGTAACTCCATTTTAACAACTGTTTGTGACAACTCATCACATTTGTTACTACACTAGTTTCATTAGCACCCAATTTTCTTGATCGATTTTGTATAACATAACTCCATTCATAACTTACTAATTTCAACCTGTTTAGTTAAAATAACCACAACCAATTGTAATTTTGTAAAATCATGTAAAATACAAGCATGTTAACAGTATTAGCTAGAATTTTAAAAATAACAAAGTCAACAGATAGTTACAAGAGAAGGAGAGAAATGGTTTTTTAGAAAATTAACATATTATATATAGTTGACCATGGAAAAGAAAGAAGCTGTACAAATTTCTTTGGAACACAACACAGATTTGGCTTGTTCATTTGAATTCCGATTGTCTCTTCAGTATGTAAAAGTCGTACTCGTAAACCATGCAAGAGGATGGGTGATTGATGATAAATAACTTGAAAAACTCTGTTAGAGTTGACTCTAACTTTACAATTCTAGGTAATTCTATTAACTTAATGTATTTCACGTAATTCTTTAGAGTCATCCTATTCTTCTTAGTCATCATTATTTCACAGATTTCTTGATTAGGTAATAGCTTGTTGCTATCGCTTAAGAATTAACTTACATTGAATGCCATAATTAAGTTTCACCCTTCCTTCAAAACTTAGATACCTTGTTACTAGCATCTATTAGTTAATTGTTTTGATAACTTTTAGCCTCTTAATTTCACCACCCCGTCTTTACTCAGAACTGATTGACTAAAATAACCACTTGATTGATGAAAACAATTTTGATGTAAAAAAAAGGAACTATATATGAGTGTAGAGCCAATGATGAGGAATTAATTGATAAGGAATATATTCCTTCGCTCAATGTGTTGCTTTTTATCTAACTGGGGTTTCTGATTCTCAAAGTTATTTAAATCTACCATCTTTGACAATTCATCGTACCGTGTTACACTAGTCGGTTTGTGAAGAAAGCCAAATGCAGGATATCCCTTAGTTCTCAACAAGTCTAACAAACAGAAATTAGGGATTGTCGGTACTAAGGATTAGTTGAATAAGGATAAGACAGCCTTTGTGATTTATGACATTATTCGATATTTCAATAATGTCAGCTATCAAATGAATATCATGCAACCATATAATAAAGTTACTTAGAAAAGTATTAATCGACATCATGTAGTTTTTGTATATAAAATCTATGAAATTGATTTGATGTTTTAATTTTTAATTTAACTTTTGATTATAGCTTGATTCCACACAGTATTTTGGTACAAGCATGAAATTTTCAGCATGTGATATCGGTAGCCAAAATTTAGCAGGCCGACCATTGATATCAGGTGTGCGTCTGCAGGGGATCGGACCCCAGACCATGTGCACAGGTCGGTGAGCGTCCTAACCGCTGTGCCACTGACGCACTGTTGAGACTTTTCACATTTACGGATAATTATGACCGTGGGGGTTTTCAGAAGTTGTTACTGACATCCTCATGAAGTCTGACGATGAAATATTCACGAGAAATGAATTATCAAAATACAATGAACATTGAACAGTATCCATTTATATTAGTCAAATACAAATTTCGTTGGATTACCAGATAACTTTTGAAAAGCAACAGCACAACTTACTGTCATTAATTATTTCCACTTTTACCCCTTTCGCTCTTCCAGGGAATGTTTTTATTCTTCTCATATCCGAGCTATCAGAATCTATTGGTCCAATGACCAAGTCACCTGCAATATAGAATAGTCGAATTTGTACAAAAAGATTAGGAAATTTTCATTCGGATACAAATGGATGTATTTTAGTTGATCAAAGTTTAGAAAATATCGAAAAGTAGTCAGAATAACGCAACACACACACTCCTTTAATGCACCTCATGGATAATATGTTACGTCACCTATACAAAAGCGATGAACTGCTATACAATACACACTGTTTATCAAGATTTGAATATTTTCGTGCATAAGAATCATAACGAGTACACACAGGAACAGAATAAACATTCATGTGAAAGAAATGAAAGTGACTAATTAGTATTTGGAGTGTGGATTTTTGATTCGTTTCCATGAATCAAGGAATATTAGTTAGAAAGCCGTCAGAAACTATTGTCTGGGGGGGGGAGAGCATTGGCTAGCTGCTTCGTCCTAGTTTGGGAGTGCTCAGCAATGCTCACCCAAGACCGCATCATGGAATGACAAATATGGAATTTACACATAATCGAATTTCAACCCGAGTGATTGATTAGTCAGCTAGCTTGTCCACGTAAGGTCCAATGTCCGAACCATGGTGGGTCAGTCGGTACTCACTGTTCCTGATTACCAAACTAGGACTAATCAGTTGACAAGTGCACCATGGTTTCCGAGGAGTTTATGGTCAGTGTTGTTTCTTGATGAAATCTACAGTGAAATTACTAATTGTTTGCTATCCAAGACAAGGTAATCTAATTACCAGGAGGCATGCATGTTATTTTCATGTGGATGTTCCAACTTCATATTCTGAACGAACTGGTCACATAAAGAATGATGTCATATAATCGCTAACCATAGGTATCACTCTGATAGAAGGAATAGTCTGGATACAGCTGTGTTGCGTTCGATATCAGATAAACAAAACTGTTATCAATTCATTAGGCTACTTTGTTATGATTAGGCAGAGTTTATTTGGATGAGGTCATGAACTAACGACTTTACGTCAATGATTCAATAGTGGAATGCTTCTCAATCACGCCTGGGGCCCGAGCACCATTCCCAAGTGAAGCAGTTCTAAACCTCACATAGTTTGCTGGCTGAACGTAAGCACAGAAGGAGAGAGGAAGTTTGGGTTTGAGTCTTGAAAATCTGTCCCGTGAAAAGAAACAATAATAACGTGGCTGAAATTTGAAAGCTTGATGCTTGGAGTCCAATGTTCTGGTAGGAATGTAAGAAATGAAGAGTCGTATCACCCAGATAAACCTGTTTCGGAATACTTTTACTTAACACTCGCATATGACGTTAAGAAATTATTATCCTCATTATTTTGATTCAAATTCATCATGATGCTCTGGTTGTATGTTACTCTCTGAATAGAATTTGGGCACTTTGGTTGAATATAATCCATATTAGATAAGTTTATTTTAAATATCACACAGCGATGCAGGATTAACAACTGGATGACATTCCTAGCACAATTTATTACTTATAATCACATCAATTTAGTCACACGGTTTCATAATTTCTCTTACATATTTTCTTCCTTTCTGTCTCTCCAACTTCCCACTGTTGTTTGTTGCCACTTACCATATCTCCGGTACAGGCTTTGCGCAGTTCCGACTGCACACGTGTGGTGTGGAATCCACCTAAATATATTACTTTTTAATACTCTCACCCTGTCCCACCCACCCTATTTTGTGATTACATGCAAGTGAATGAAGTGGTTGAGCTTTTTTCCAGGTTATTTAACTTAGCAGGCTCAATTATTCTAGGTCTAGCTAAATCTCTATGTTTCAATAATCTAGTTGACTCTTACCTACTATTCTGACCTGTGTAATTGACCTCATAGTCATTAGGTGTTATTTGGTAAATTATATTGTTTTTCTTGATTGGATCTATTGGGTGCTGAAGCCTACAAAGTTTATCTCTGAGAGAGTTGGGCGGTTGGTTGGTTAAAATGCCACCCTAATTCCAGGCTCACTGAGAATCCTCTCTGAATCGTTTGGGTATTTATGAAAGGGAAAGTATAAAACCTGAGGAAAATTCACTTGAACACATCTGAACTGATTAAATGAATATAATTCACACTCAGTCTCCTGTAGTAAGCTTTTGAGAAGAATTCCCACCAACCAATGCGCTACCTGAAGTATGATGACTTGTGTCATGTTCGTTAAGCTTTCTCTTTGCTTGTATGGGCTTGTGATTTCTAAGCGAATTGGATATGAAGCGTCAGGGTTAAATAATGTCTTTTTGGATGATAACGTATTCGGATTTGGATGATTCGCGGAAGGCAAGATCACTTAGTAGCGTCTGGATTATGCGGTCGCGTTACTACACGCTTCAATTATCACGTCTACGGTTTAAATGAGATCTTCCAGGTGAATGCATGCTTGTCATAGTCACTAGCATATGATCAGAAAGCTTAATGTTGGCACATCAGACATCGTATGATTAGCTGGAGTGTTTGACGAGACACTTTTAGATTTTGTTACAAACAATAGCAAATGAGACACTTCCTTTCTCAGGATTAATGCCGCCCACGTTGATAATTGTTGGACAGTACTTCAAGCCCACCATTCACCCTATCAAAGTCTAATGCTCCTCACCTGCGTCACACTAAGTACGTGGCCTTTTCGAGCTGAGGATGTATGGCAATTCTGCCTATTTGACCATCACTGACTTTGCAGAATTGCTTGCATCCGATAGCATCATCGTGTTAGTAATTAAGAGGTCTGGCAGTGGAGACTGCCTTTTATTCAGTATGGTTATTTCGAAATACTGACTCCAGTCGCTTAGACATTTGTCATGAATATCACCCCCAGGATCCCCTATAACGATTTCCGCCTTCTATCACTGGAAGTGGATGGAGAAATAGGAGGATTAGTTATCCTGGGAGATGGGATGAAGAATATTCGTCATAGGTCAGCATCCGTTGAAATACCAAGACTCCATGGGTGGGCTCTGAGAGATAATTCTAATCGGGGACTGGAGACGGTATCAAATACAGCTAAGAATCGCAATCAATCGCGATCATGTTGCAATTTTCTTCCTTATTCACTCTCCGAAAGCAATATGAAGTGATGAGTGTTCAGTGATTTCGATAAGTACTCTTACATTCTTTCTAGTTGACCTCCCTCATTCATCCAAACTCCCATATTCCCTATATACTTTTGTTTCACTAGTTTTGTGTGGTCCATCTCTTGGTGCCCATATTGTAACAAACTTGTGCACTTAATAATAATAATACATGCTCGTGTGATTACCAAAACTGAAATAAAATTAGTTGTCACAGTGTCTTAATCCAATCAATCAATGAAATATATTAATTTACCTGTCGCCAATATACCAACTGATTTATACTCTTCACCGTAATATTTTATTATAAATCGCGTCCGCATATACTGTACATTAAGAGGTTTGATTAATATTTTGTTTTATGCATAAACTATGATTGACTTACCAATTCCTGTGGAACATCATACGAAAATTTATAAAAAGTTTCAAATGCAATTGGAGCTGACTGATTATATTTCTTATTCTGGGTGTAATAATAACTCGACTTCTATTGTAATAGAAAAATAAATGGATGGAATTCTTCCACTTACTGGTCCATGTCGTCCAAAATTAGGTGCAATTCGTGCCTTCGTTACATTCTGAACGAGATCTGCTATGTCATTCAGTTCTATAAACGCTTCTGCAAATGATAGTCCAACGAAATACAATCCAATGAATAATACAGAATACAGAGTATTTCGCGTCTGTCTGCGTTGTTAAGGAAAACAATGGAAAATAATTGAAACATCAGTTATGGAAGGATATGGCTGACTAGTATGCAACAGGAGAAGAGTATGAAACTCATCGGAATGTTAAAATTACCTCATCGTTTCTTCTCCGATTTTGTGGAGAGAATTACCACAAATGGTGAGAGATGGCATCACCACTTCGTGTTATCTTATACAATAAACACTAGTAGTTAATCAGTAAGTTGTGCTAATTCGTGATTAGCTATAGAAAAACCAGCCAATTAATAAGAAGTAAATTCCGTGAAGAATAAATCACTATTTGACACAATGAGATTCCTGTGCTCATCCTCATTGGTCACAATCACAAAAAATTTAGAAAACGACACAGAACACCTAGACAGAACAATCATTGACCTGTGTAGAATAACATGGATCCATTGAGTTCAATAGGTTCTCTTCAACGCCTGACAACATGTATGATTTAACAGAACAAATATGTAGCAAATTCAACATGTTCATTTTGTTCAGTAGGCTTCAATCCTTGAGTAAGAGTCAATGTGAGAATCTCATAATGAAATACAACGTAAAGATAATAAGATTTCTGAAAGTATGACAATACAATGATGTCTTATAAGAGGACATTTTCTTATAAAAAACAAATAAATAGTTTTCTTCTTAGAAGTGGAAACAATGAAAGCAAGTTTTACGTAATCAGACATAAAAAAATAAAAATGATTAGGACTCATAAGATAGAAACGTGGAAATTTAGTGTGTAAGAAGTCTACTGAAGAAATGATGATGCAATACGGTGAGTAGAACTCAGAGCATCGGAAATTCAGTCACATTATATATGAGAATCAAACGAGAGATGGGATAAAGCAGAGTGATGAGATCACAAGACAAAGAATTACTAAAGAGGAAGTTACTAGGGTAATTGTGATCGAACAACGCCATCTATTTTAAGACATATGTGAGATTTCATCCGTATTATTTGAGATAGCCTCTATAAACTGAAGACGTCTTCGACTGTTCTCTCTATTAATTTCTGCTCACTGTAGTTGACTGTGTGTGAATACTAACTTACAATACTTATTTTTAATGTCTCCACTACAAATTTATTTATTTGCTCACGAGAAACGTATTCCCTCTGATGCGTGTATATGATGATATTAGATAGTTGGAGACAGTCGGCAGGAAGTCTTGAACCTAGATTTCGTTCTAGTTGGCACTTGTCAGCAAGGTGTATCTGCAACGTTGAAGAAACTCATGTCCCTTCTGAGATTCGAACTCGCGTCACCCAGTGGTGCAGTCAGAGACGTTACCACTGAGCTATTCGAGCTCGCGATTGACTTTCTGTAGGACTGTACTGGATACTCTGACTGCACACTAGTAACTAGTGTACAACCATGTATATATATATATATATATGTTGGAACATTTAGAGATAAATTATCATCCTCATGCTGTATTTCACTATAATGTTCTTGTAACTGTTAACACCCGGGGACTTAATCGTGTTGGTAAAGATAAGAATGCTAAAGTTGTCTTACAACTTGTTTTATTAAATGTTACAGTTTGTATTTAGCTGAAGAGAACCTATGAAATTAAGTGGGGTAATGCTGTTCTGCACCACAGTTTTTTCATTCTCTTTTCATATTGATAAAATGGAGGTTGTGCATGAAAGATAAGCGATTCTGAAATCACATAATCTTTCATGTCAAATGAACCTTTTCTGTTCAGTAGTTAATTGAAACAAATCACTGTTTGTATTCACCAAATACAACAATTGTGTACCACTAGTTTCTAAGTAGCTGATGCAAATGTGTATGTCTAAAGCGATTTTCGAGAGGTAAATGCTCGAATCAAATAAATTGACAGTGCAACAGAATCTATTTGATACCAAGCAGTTGATGGTGTATCAGCGGTGAAGCCAGTAATTCTTTTCAGTTGAAGATTTACTCTGATGGAAGAAGGTAAAATAATCAATATCTAAATGAGGTTCATGTGAATATTATGATCTCACTCTCCTTCGTGTCATCCTTGTTGTAGCACATCAGAATGACATTTCTATCAACACCAGTGAGAATGCTCATATTCACCTGAGTATACAAACCTATGTCAACCATTTATGAAGTGACGAAACCAGGTCAACTGATTATCACGAAACTGTTTCGATTATCTAGAATCTAAGCGACAGTGTTCATGCTCATCAAGTGGTTAGAGTCAGGCATATGATTGATTATATGGTGGTTTTCTTCATGTCTCGACATTAACTGAAGCACTACTGAATACTGGACAACACTGTCTGAATGGTGAACACGCTTTTTGCGTATGCTGAAGTCTGGAGATACTCTCAATTGAAGGATGAATGTTGTGTGTCTGTGATGGATTCCAGAAAAAGACAAAACTACTGTCTAGTGATTCGTTGTAATGTTCAGGATTTCTGTAAATGAGGACGACATTCACCTTGATACATATCTGTAAAATTTCTACCATATCTAAACACTGTTAAGAAAATGTAGTAATTGTATTTTTGTTCCTTCAGGTTCCTAGTAGAATATTGAGCTTCAACAGCACGTCACCATTTCATCCTGTTGTCAGCACGTGTTCTTCACTTGGCCCCTCGATTGTTCATAAGCTGTCGTCTTCTCTTCACGCGGTCTCTCCCCTGCCATTCTCAGTCACATGACCTACTCACAGTTTCGTATTCAGTTACGATTCGAGCGATTTCATGAAGAGTGATGTCAATCAACAGTCTAATCAGTGCGTGACCAGTCCATCTTTTCTTTTTTTATCCTCCATCTGACTATAAATCAAGCATCAGACGTGATGCTGTATACAGGAGAATAGACTTGAAGCCTTATTTGTGAGCCACATACTTGAGTGTTTTGTTGATGCGAAGGCAATATTTCTATATTTCTGAATGAGCTACGTTCGCTAACTCACTAGCAGATTGTTCCAACTGACTCAAAAGTACTAAATGTATATTCAATAAATCTTCACATTTTCCTTCTTGTATTTGTTGGGTGATCGGCACCTGGTACGTTGGATGGTAGAGGTCCTTGTCACTTATCACTTCAGTCCAACTATCTGATGCATGGTGTGAGACCAGAGAAGGCAGCTGCTGATAAATATCTGAAGCAGGCTGCTATAAATGCGTCTGGTGATGCGCATTTAAAGTCTCTGAACCATACAGAAGCAATGGCTGACTGATGGACTTGACACTAGAGTTGAATCTTGTTGTTTATTTTGAGTGCAGCAGATTCCCTGATAGGTTTCAGATTAATGGAGGTCTCTGGCTTATCCAACCCTGACTGGCTTTGACGCAGTCATACATGCCTCCACCTGTGGTAAGTGGAATGGTGTCTAGATAAGTGAAAAAGTGATATCCTTCAAATTTTTCCCTTTGATGGTGATTGGTGCTTGTTGTTGGTAGTGATGCCTAGTTATCTTCATGATTTCTGTCTTCTCTAAGCTCAACTGAATTCCTGTCTGCTCTGCTTCATCTGCCAACTTGTAGGTTTTCGCTTGTGGATCTTCGCGTTTGTGTGACAGTAGAGATAAATCCTCGGCATATTCCACATATTCCAGACATTTCGTATTTGTCCAACGCATGCTTCTTCGCCAGTTCTTGCAATAGCTAGGTTTGTTGTTCTTTTTCCAATTTGACAAATTAGCCTTATCTCCAATCAGTAGGTACCTTTCCTCCTTCCAAACATTTTGCCATGGTGATATGAATGTATCCACTGATATCTCCCAATCCGTTTTCAGCGATCCCAGTGGAATTCAGTCTGGTCGCTCCGCCATTCTGCCTGACTCTCAGTAGCTTTGTGTCATTCAAAATTTCCACTTTTCGTGGAGAACTGGTGGTCACTAACATTTCTGTAGCTGTTGGTTATATTACTGGGTCAGTTATAAGTGGTGGTCATTCCAAGAGTCATTCAAAGTGATCTATCCATCGCATAATATGCTTCTCCTTTCTAGTAATTAGGTTCTCTACTCTAGCTTTCATTGATTTTATCTGTACTGATATCTCCACGGATAGAGATGTAGTTATTTGATATGAAATTTTGAGGTCTGTTTTACCTGTACTCGGTAGTACTTTAGTTTCCAGTGTGTCGCGGAGTTGTCTTTTGTCTTCTTCTTCTTCTTCACCCTTCTTCAATTCTTCACTCAATTCATTGTAGACTGAACCCAACTTCTCCTTACGTTGTCTCTGAATTGATTTATCTTCTGTTTCACCAATACTCTATTTGAAAAACCACACGGAAAGTGAGGCGTAAAGGCCAAAAACACATGATTTGTCTAAAACACCGTGCTATATTATACTTCAAATAATGAAATATGATATACGAACCTCCAGTTGTGAGGTGTGCGTGTCTGAATGCCAATCACTTTGCATCAATAGGAAAGACAGCAAAGCTGTTTGTGTGTGCGTCGGTGGCACAGTGGTTAGGACTGTCGCCGACCATGTACATGGTCCGGGGTTCGATCCCCTGTCGACGCACACCTGATATCAATGTTCGGCCTGCAAAATTTGGGCTACCGATATCACATGCTGAAAATTCCATACTAGTGCCAAAAATTGCAGTGTGGAATCAAGCTGTAATAATAAAAAAGACGATTCATGTTTTGATTAAACAGTGCGCGAATGCCAGACGAGGAAAGCTGACATTCAAATACACAATGTCCAAAATAGAAAGCTATATAAATAAATTATATACAGCAAGTAATGCTTAACTATAGGGAATGTTACTATGCTTCAAACAGAATATTAATACATTAGGTGAGTTAAACTTTAGTGACAAACAATGTCAAGGTTATGAAGTATTCAAGCATAAGTAATCAAGTATTCAAGCATACCCGTAGTAAGTAGTATGAGGTGGAACAGAAATAAAAACGTAACAGAGGAGAGATAGTAAAGGAATTAGGAGTCTCCAACTTCACTCTGATGGACGCGATGAGGGTGTATTTCTTAGTTTCGTAACACATTTTTTGGATGTTCGACTTGAATTATTGTCTATCTCCAACTGTTTTGAAGGCCTCCGCTTTTGCCATGAAATTAACTTGCACTAGATAACGGTCTTAGCCCACATATGTTCCTTTATTCTACTTTGCATCTAACAGATGGCAACAAACCAACTATGTCCCAATTGAGATGGAGTCTATCTGGCTGTTGGTGTGTGCTTTGTGCTTGTGCACACCGCCTTCGTTCATTAAGTGATAA